CTTCCTATTGAGAATTATTCCACGGGGTTTCTTCTTGGGTTAAAATTGACATCTATGTTTTTATACCTTCTCAGAAATACCAAGTGAAACTACAATTTCTCCATTGTTCACACCAATTTGCTCAGCCGCTATAGCCCATAAGAATTACTTTTTCCGGCTATACCAACGCGATTGTTCCATTCTCAACAGACGCCTATTTGTGCTTGCGTAAAATAATTGTAAACATGTCCTCGAAGAACTTATAGAATGAGGCACCGTATAGTCTCAAACAATTTTGGTTCTTGTGATTCTTGTGACAAAGTCTTCTATCCATACCAATATTTTGCTTGTAAATTCTCTCCAAATTCTACTTATCTAGGGCATCTTTGCCTGACTTTCCACTTAGTCTCTATTGAGTGATATAACTGAAATCGCCATTGGCTTCAACAACGGTCTCCAGGCGACTCCAGACGACTCCAGAATCTCCTGCAACTATTCTGGATGGTTTCCTTGTTTAAGTTGGTGAATGCTGTCATAATCCTTACCTTCAGTTCATCTTTGGTATTACAAGGAGTTTTGTTGGTCTCTCGCTCAACTCTGCCCCCCCCATACATAATAATCAAGGGGATTGCAGTCTGGGGAGTTGGGTGGTCAGATGTAAAGGGTGATGTGGTTGCAGAAAATAACTGACAGCCATGACTGGGTTCTCCTGCTTATGTGGCATGATGCAGTTGTCAGATATTGGGGCTTCTAGCAGCCACCATTTTGACGTAGGGCATCCCTACCTCCTCAAGGAACTTGATGTAGGCCTCCGTGTTGAGTCTGAGTCCCTGTGGGAAGATGAATGGAGACATAATGTCGTCAACACTAGCAATAACTCCAAACATCTTCGTAATCACAATTAGACTGATACAACTCTTTCCGAATCATCTGCACAGTCCTCAAATTGACACCCAAACACTCTGCAATGTTCGTATTGAGCTTCTGGTACGAATGCCAAGCAGTGCAGCATGCCGTTTCCAAATTTCTGGCAGAGTGAATTATGTCATGGTGTTCTTTTTCTCACAGACAGTGCCTAACCGGCTATACTATAGTGTGCAGTCGACAAATTAAAAAACAAAAACAACGCGCATGAGCGAAAAATATAAAATGGCGACAATTTACCCATCGTACATTGTCGTGTGTGTGTGTTTATATATATATATATATATATATATATATATATATTATATATATATATATATATATAACTATGAACCTGAAGAGCCAGGCAAAACTAACTAGTTAGGTTTGCTTTTGCTTTACTCTTTTGGATGTTTTTTCTTTGGACTCTGAACTTGGATTCTGGATGATTGTTTACGTCTCAATTTCATGTTCTTAGTTCTTTCTTTTTTATTCCTGATTTTTCCTTGGGTATTGGTTTGTTCATTTACAAGCCAAAACACCTAAGGTTTTTCAAGACGAGTATATATATATATATATATATATATATATATATATATATATATATATATATATATATATATATATATTATGAATTAAAGAATATCAAACATTTCAAACCCCATAGGTAAACATTTTTATTTCATGAGAGCTCTAAAAAACAGCTCTCAATCTTCAAGACCTACAAACAAAAACTATTAGAAAATTTTTATATGAAAAATCAAAGGAGATAGAAAATGAAAGCCAATCGGTTTTAGAAAATTGTTAGAAAATCAAAATTTTTTAGAAAAATCCAAAATCAATGTTTTAAAAAAATCAAAAAATCAAATCAAAGATTTAGAAAATCAAAATTTTTATAAAAAAATTCAAAGCCAATCGGTTTTCCATTTATACGAAATGGTTGAATACTTTTTAGAAAAGATGTCCCCATATATATATATATATATATATATATATATATATATATATATATATATATATATATATATGGGGCATCTTTCTAAAAGTATCCAACCATTTGAATAAATGAAAAACCGATTGGCTTTTGATTTTCTACGACAGCTCTAACTGACCTTGTGTATTGTGTGGCTATGACATCCACAATGTCCCAAGCGAGTATATATTTTAGATCTCCTACAGTTTTATTGTTTAAACCACATCACACAAATTTACAGCCCCCTCCTGCTACAACTCATGTTTACTTCCCCGTAACTATTAGTTTCTCGTGGGTGAGATTAAGGAGAGAATATACACGAAACACATTTAAAAGATAATCTAGTATAATCTTGACAGCAAATGGCGCATAATTATTCAATTCTCGATCATATCTCTCTTCTTTAAGTTCAAATACAAAAGTAATGAAAGTTAAGAAGAATAAAATAGACAAAGATTGGAAAGTAAAGTTAGATAAATATGTGTGGAGTTTGAAAAACGCCTTCTCCTTTGTGAAATAAAAAGCGTAGAGTGATTTCGAAATCGGAGAAGGTCGCTTAGTGTACGAAATAAAGAGAGAAAAAGCTGCTCGGGGAAGGTCCTCTATTGGATGACGACTGCAATGAGTTGTTCATCTAGAAGACAGCTTTAATAGACAAGGTAGCTTTTACCTGGAAGAAAGAAAAAAAACACACATATTAGGCGACTCAGTTTGGGGTAATGGTTAACGAGACTAGACTTGTTAACCATATTGAATGAGTTCTGTTGTCACTGGATGGCCTCATTAGAAATTCAGCATAAATTGACTCAACAAAGACTATTTTGGAAAATCAACCAACCCAAAATTGGGATGGGGGTAATGGTTAGCAAGGTTAGTCTGAATGACCATTATTAGTGAGTAGTAGGTTCGATCCTTACTGGGTGCCCCATACAAAATTCGACATGAAATAACCCATCCAGATATTGCTGATCGAGAGAAATATTGAATAGCAACAATCAGATGAAAGAGTCAGAATTCATTTGGAACCTTTGTTATCGATTCATTTAGGAGCCAAAAAAACTGAGTTTGTAACAAATCTTTGAATAATTGAAAGGCAATAATCACACGAATTCTGAGAAATTTCATCTGTTTAGTAAATTCTCCGTCGGATATGTGTGAGTTGTACATACTCTAAGTGTGCGGGGGAGGAGGAGTTTGTGCCATAAATGGCCGAGTTTAGGCAACGCTGTGTCAGTGGAACTTTTTTCTTACATTTGGAACACGGAAGAAATGTAGAGGATTCCATTTCGTACAAGTGGTGTTTCCTAGATGTAATGGTCTGAACGGAGGGAAATGAAAGAATGGAGTTCATCGGAACATTTGCCATGGAATTAGTGACAGAGTCTCTGCGATGAAAGTGGTGGGAAAGAGGTGGCAGAGGGGGAAATAAGTCTCTCCCCCACAAGACTGCAGAGACGATTTTAAATTCTACCAAGTGAAGATTGATCAGTCCGAACCGAAATATGGCTGCTGCAATAATCCATTTTTTCTCTAATCTGACTTTTGTAAAGATAAATCATGGCGGAAGATGTCATATAATTAATGAAACGACATAATAGGGCGACCACTTTCCCAGCATCTTGAGCGATTTATTGTTTTATATGGCTACTATGTTGGTTCTGGAATAAACTAGGAACCCAAAAGGCGTTCATTGTATTGAGCCTCAATAAGAATGAAACCGTTCATCGTAACTCGTAAAGTCTCGGGATCTAATCACTGATGATAAAACAATACTAGTTTAGGTTTTTTTAATATAGTGGGAATTACAAATCTGTTATTTCTTCATTGAGTTATCAGAGCTAAATCAGAGTGGAGATCAGCTGCAAGTCTTCGATCATCTTGGATTTTGGAAGTGTGTACATAACCATTAGTATCACCTGCATAGATGTTTACCAAAAATCTGAGAATGTTTCTAGGCCGATCGTTAATATAAACCAGAAAGTAGGACTGTGAAGAATCCTTGTGGACTTGTGCATTGATATTATGTTTCAAAGACTGGCATTTCACAACAATCTTCAAGAAGAGTGGAACCGTTTATCGTGTCCGGAGACAATTCAGGATTTGATTAATAATGATGAAACGATACTAGCTTCTTTTAACAGGTATTTATCCGAGAGAGCTGTTAGAGCAAGATGAGAGGAGAGATCAGCTGGAAGCTGATTATCTTGTTTTGGGGGCGGGGGAAATGTTTCTCTAGTGAGTGGTAGATGCTTACCAATAGTCTGAGAATGTATCTAAGCAGATCTTTAAAAATGAAACAGAGAGCAGGGAGGAGGATCAAACCTTGGATACACCTGCATTACATTTCAAAAGTCTGGCCATTGACAACAGCCTTCATGTAGAAAAAGAAGCTAATTGCGTGAATGAATTCCTTCAGAGATGCCATGACTGACTGGGCGTATCGTAACCATTATGCCACAGATTGTCAAAAACATTTGAAATGTCTAAGGGAGTGATACACACCCGCACTAGTGTACCGTGCGGTCTGATGAAGTGTGCCCCGAAATAATGTCACGGCATAAATATATATATATATATATGAGTGTGGAACATTGAAATAAAGTAAGTTCATATTTGTGTGTATATTCTTAAAAAATCCATGGTTTTATTTCATAACATCTAAATTGTCTAACCGTTAAAACCTCTGCTAAATGTGCCGTGATATTTTTATTTTCTTCGAGGTGTGTTGATGTTTAAAAAAGTTGAGAAACACTGGTCTAAGGTAATCGTTTTAGTAACAAATTCAAACAAAAGGAAATACTTACGACACCCTTATCATCGATTAACTCCAGTTCAGAAGATCTGTTCATGTCGCCCCAGTTTTCAATGTTGGTGGAGATGTCACCTTTCTTGAAATCGCTTTCTTTTTCGCAATTCTTAGCCCAGATCTAACGAAAAAGAATGACAAAGAATCAGATTATTATTCTGTAAGTTCCCCACTTCGGACGTTCGTTACGCACTGCCATTGACTCAAATAAACAATGGACCGTATTTTGATTGCGATTTTGAAAGATGTAAGAAAAAGACATATGAGAGACGCCGTCTAGATTTAGTGACAAAAATAAAGAATGTATAATATTCAGAAAGCAGAAAGAAGAGTGGCTTACAGTGACATCGGTCTGGAAGACCGGTTCGAGTTTGATCACCGAAGTTAAGCAATGTCTAGCCTAGTCAGTACTTGGATGGGGGACTTCCCGGGAATACCGGGTGCTGTAAATGAAAACCTGGTACAAAACCAGTTTTGGGCATGCTAGGTAGTAAATTCTACCCGCAAAATCTTACTTGCTATAGAAACCCCAACAGCAACGCTTAGTGCTGTTGAGACCTGTGCTCCCCACACTCTTCAGCGGGGTCGACAGGACCAAAGAAGTGGGGAAGATACAAAAAGTATTAATGATGAGAGAGTGGTATAAAATTATATATTTGGGTTTTGAATGCATGTTAGAGTCAAGATTTTTAAATAAAGCATTTGTTATTTGGAATACAATGTTTTAATTATATATTTAAATATTCAGTAAAACTTTTCAACTTTCACCGTTCCATTTGTACCCTCTTACTTCTTTGAATAATGACCGCTGTTTCATAATATAGTGGATTTTTTTACGTGTTTGAGCTCAAATATTAAATAAATGCATTTTTAAAGATATTTTAAGGCCTTGGAAATCTCAATGTATTTAATCATAATGTTAAGAATTACGACTCACCAGAAAATTCAAATTATAGGAAAATCTTGAAATTTTATGTGGTACTGTTGATCGTAAATAAACGGACAACAGAAAAAAAATAGCATTCGAAATTTCACGCCACATTTTTCATACTTTAACTATGTAAAGGAAAGCGAGAAGAAAGGACTAACTATCAATTGTCAGAAGACAAGATATATGGTTGTAAGCAAGAGGAATTAGTGATACCAAAATCAAGCAAGCACAAAGATTTTAATATCTGTGAAGTTTTTTTTTTAACAGAAGACAGAAATATGACACTGAAATCCGAAGGCACATTCTATTAGCGAAAGATTCTTTCCAAAAAGCTAAGCCAAATATTAAGAAAATAGGGAAAAACAAAACAAAAAAAAAGGTTCTCAACCGCGATGTAATATCAAATCTAACATTCACCATCAGATAATGGTAGTGAATGATGGCCATTTTCCTCGCAGATGGAGCGTAGACTTCAGCTAATAGAAATGTGGTTCAACAAAGAGATGCTGACAATACGACGTGTACAGAAGCTGGGAAAAACTAGGAAATGTTAAGGAAAATGAAATGGTGAAAAGAAAAAAAAGAAAGAAAGAAAGAACGCATACATATTAATAAGAAAGAAGGAAAGAATTAAAAATGAAAAAAAGAAAGAAAAAGACAGAACGTTTAAAAATGTTTGAAATATTTTAAACAAAAAATGTTGTAATATTTCATTTAAAGAATAAAAATAATAGAATGGAATCTTTATTCAATTAAAGTAAAAATGACATTATACAGACTGCCATTAATTCAGATAAATAATAGAATATTCCGTATTGAGAAAGAAAACAGACATAATAACAAGAAAGGTATGTGAATTATTATACTGTTTCTATTATACAGTTCATAATTATTATACTGTTTATAATATAAAAATGTGAAAAATTTCCTTTTATGTAGAATATTATTACATCATTACAAATAAATAAAGGATCATATTTTGATTGCGATTTTCATCCTTTTGCAGAGCCACATCTATATTGCTGCACATATCCTCTTCATCTGTGTATAGGAGATTACCGTATATGTCAGCGTACAAGGCGACCTTTCAACCTTATAACCCCCACCCAATCTTATATGCTTACTGAATTTATCTAATAAATTCAATACAGTACATTTTAAAATTGATTTGGTGGGGTTGCCTTATACGGCGAATATATCCCGAAACCTACATTTTAACTTGAAAATTTGGGGGTCGTCTTATACGCCCAGTCACCTTGTACGTCAGTATATACCATAGATATTACATAGTAATTCAGCACTATTTTCTCTGTTCCTAATGAATGTTCCTGTTTCTTAATACTTTGTTTAACTTTTGGAAGGCATCTTTCTTTATTATAACGCGCCTTCGGAATTCTATGTCGCATTTAAAATGAGAACCCAGAATCTATACTGACAGCAAATGGCTTGCGTGCAAGTAGAAAATGAATTCAGTGAATATTCAAAAATAGAAAGTGGTGTAAGACAAGGATTTGTCTGCCGGACTTATTCGACCTATACAGTGAAGCAATCCCGAGAGAATTAGAAGTCTGAACAGGATTCATTATTGGTGATCACAATTTTAAAAATATAAGACGGCCAAATGACACAAGGTTAATAGCAGGCATAAAAAGGAAACTACAAGAATTCCTACCGAAGTTAGTGAAAGAAAGCGAGAAGAAAGGACTAAACTTCAATTGCAAGAAGAGAGAAAGGAGCATTGTGAGAAAAAGTTACAGTCGAATATTTTAGAGATACCAAAATCAAACAAGTACAACAATTTATCTGGAAAGTATTTTAACAGAGGACAGAAAGCTCGACACTGATATCTGAAGGCGCATTATGATAGCGAAGGATGTCTTCCAAAAGCTAAGCAAAGTATTAAGAAAAGGATGAATTTCGTTAGAAACAAAGAAAATAGTACTAAACTGCAATGTAATATCAGTCCTTTTATGTGGCAGTGAATGTCTCCTAACAGATGAAGAAAAGACTTGGGAACTTTGATACTCACAGGATAGATTGAAGGCAAGAGGGAGAAAGGAAAACAACACATAGCCTACCTAACGAGATTGAATAAATGGGTGGCAGGACAAGGTTTAACAAAAACACAAAATTTATTAAGAGCTAAAAAGGACAGGAAATTGTGGAGAGCTACGATCTCCAATGTCCTGTGGGGACACGGAACATAGAAGTAGTTAGCGCACATTTTGTTTGGATCGGAAAGATTTTACCAGCAGGTAACAGAAAATTGACAGCTGATCAATAAATTCTAATGAGTAACAAAGAAAAGATTCACTTACATTGAGGTTTTGTCCAGCACCGAGGACATGTTCGTTTGTAAAGACAAATTCGTGGGAGACTTCTTCTACAGACTTGGTTGCAAGCAGTTTTCGAATCAGTTTCCATCCTTTCAAATTCACCGTCTATTTTTAAGTAAATAAATAAAAAAGGATGTTTTTAATAAAACAGTGATCGATGTAATACAACATAGCTATTTATTATATATTAATAAATATACATATTATCCCTCACCAATAGCGCAACTCGGATTTTCATGTGCAATGCAATCTTCAGGTGGTGAGTAGAGACTGACTGTTATGTAATTTAAATTATCTGGTTATCGCAATGTTGGCGCAGTTATATATCATATTGGAATTACAGTTTTCTTTTTAAATTTTAAAAATATTTGTCATTTAAAATAATTGGGTTTTGTATATATGTGAAAGAAAAATTACTTTAGTGTTGTAAATATCATTTTTTTTTATTGTTAATATTAAGCATAACGGGAGACTATTTGTTCTTTTTCGTAAAAACACGTAACTTACATTGAAAATTAATCTGGATCAACGTATTTAAGAAGATATTTATTTTTATGCCTATATGTAACCATCAATTCATTCCTTTTGTTTAAAGGGCTAACGTTATATATATATATATATATATATATATAAGAAAATACTTTTTGGTTTCATACGACGCCGGATGAATATACGTGTATTTTTTCACCTCCTCCCTTCCATTGAATAACCGTTTGCTTTGTCCCTCCCCTTATTATTATTATATTTTTTTCTTCCTTCCCCATCTTACATTTCCTATACTCTTGAGTTACCCCTTCTCTAATTATTAACCTTCCTCTTCCTCACCCCCTTATACCGCTTATACTCTTAATTTGCCTCTACCAATATTATTAAATTTTTTTCCGTCCCTTAAATACTCTCTACTACTGTTAATTTGCATTTACTCAAATATTGATTTGCTCCTCCACTCTTGATTATTATTATTATTATTATTATTATTATTATTATTATTATTATTATTATTTTTTTCTTTGATTTCTGACGTTTACACATTTCTTTCCGGTTCCCGTCCAGATAAAGCCCTTCGTGTGGGCTGTACTTGTCAGAACAATTTTTTGTATCTCTATGAAGCATGGACTTCCAGGAATCCCTTCAATTAGTCTACTGCAATCTTTTCCAACCAGTCCTAGGGCTCCAACTACAACAGGGATTGTTGATGTTCCCATATGCCACATTTTCGAGACTTCTATTTCAAGGTCCTTGTATTTTGACAGCTTTTTGAATATCTTCAAAGATATATTACAGTCAGCAGCGACTGCCATATCAATAAGGAGGCCCTTTTTTTTGTTTGTGGTCTTACAACAGAACTCCCAAAATCCCAACAGAGCATAATCTTGACTTTCTCGAATTTGGACTCATTTTCAAATCCGAACATAAGTATAGTCTTTTCTTCCCCGGAAGTGAAACAATGTCGTACTCGCATAAAAAAAAACAACAAAAAAACAAAACACCATAGAAACAAATGTGATTAACGCAAATGAAGAACGTAGCGAAATTAAGGAAGATCTGACAATGGACGAATGATAAATTTATAACTCTCATAAATTTTTAGACATTTCATAAAGTGCCTTAGCTTCTCACAAATGACAAATATTTGTTTAGCACCAATTTTTTCATTACTATGGGTTGTCAATTATTTTGTACATTTATGCTTTCAGTCTACACTTTTTAAAAAAAAAAAAAAAAAAAGGAATTAGCGTTGCAAACTATCTTTTGTATCCTAAACTCTAAAACTTAAAAATTTTAAAGCTTGCCACAACAGCCTTTTCTTTCCCGAATCCGAACAGTAACCTCAATAGCGGACATCTCGGATGTTCGGTTTAGGGGATTTGTACAGTATATTATATAATTATAATATTATCATTATTAATATATTTTCTCCGTCTCTTACATTCACCCTAACATTGCGTCTCTCCTTAGTTTCAAATATTATTATTAATATTAATTTTCCCCCCTTCTTTATTTTACTTTTTCTCTTCCCCCTCTTACATTCCTTTTGCCATTGTTTAAGTTAAATTTCATCCAATATTCATTTACCCCTCCCTCGGCCCTCAATTACGATTATTATTGAGATATTCACTCTAACTTTTTCTCTCTCTTTAGTTTAAAAAAAAAATATTAATTTCTATTAAGATTCATTTTC